TGCTAGCTGACATGTGTTAGCTGATGCTAGCTGACATGTGTTAGCTGCTGCTAGCTGACATGTGTTAGCTGGTGCTAGCTGACGTGTTAGCTCGCCGCTCGTCTGAAAGTCCAGTTTAAATGAGCGGCTTCTGTTTCTGACGGAAACCACCAACATCAGCGGGAACACCTGATTCTGCTCTTTCTCTGCAGGTAAGACCGGAAGCGTTGCTGCACCGAGCAGTAAAAAATTAAACTTTATTCATTTATTTATGCAGAAATCTTGGTCAGAGTTGTTATAAAATCTTTAAATGAATGTTTAGAGGTAATTTCAGCAACAGATTAGATTCCTGCTAAACTAAATAATAATTCAGATTTATGCTTGAAATCTGATAAACGTGAACAATTAATAAACCCATCAATTACAAAGTTTAAATTTTAATATATCACATTTAGTGTCAGTTATTCATTCTCTTCTGTTTAATAAACTAAAATATCATTTTAACATATTTTAACTACCTCTTAAAGTTTCATCTTAATAAACTATTTTTTAATACAGTAAAAATCTCATTTATCAAAATGTTGCTTTATGTTATTCAGTTTAACTTCTAAAGGCTGATAACTGGGATGTAATTCAAAATGCTTATATTATTTCCTAATAATTTTATTAATAAACCTTAAAGTTGAGTCAAACAAATAGAGTTTAACTTCATCGTTTCTGATGCAACAACATGAAATGTTCACGTAAAGCTACGACACTTAGAACGAAGTTTAATTTTAAACATACAAGTCGTTTTATCATCTTCAAGTCCTAAACAGAAATAAATTACATTTAAATTATTAAATTATTCTAATTAGTTAAATCTGTAGTTTTCTTCACAAATTTAAATCACACTTTAATGCCTTGTTAACCATTTAAAGCCTGGATTTACTGCTGATAATCATTTTAAAGCTAATTAGTTTTTCCTTTTTGACCCACATCTGGTGGTTCTTGACCCACCTTAGGGTCCCGACCCACCTTTGAGAACCAGCGCCTTTAATTGGTCAGAACCCGCAGCAGGTTTTGCAGCATCGTCTCATTTTTACGCCTCTGAACTGACCCAGAACCGTACGAGACTTTCACAGGACGGGTCGAGCTCAAAGTCCGTAAATATGGATTTGTTTACTTCCAACGATTAAAAACTGGTTTCAAAAGACAAAACAAACCGGGACAGATCCGTTTGTAAAAATAAAAATAAATAAAACGAGACGATTCCTCCGGTGTCCGTCAGCTTCTGCGCCGCAGCCCAACAGGAAGTCAGGACTTTTAATTTGAAACAATCTCAACTCACTGATTGGCGGACTCTTGAATTTTTAAACTGTAGAAAGAGAACCATACTGAAAAGAAACATAAAGCCAGCCGCTCGTTGGTGTCACCATGGTAACCACGCAGCCGTCTGTCACTCCCTGATCCCACTCTGAGTAAAAGTTGGCCTCGTGCCAAGAGTTACAGGTAAACCAACTAAACTAACGAGCAGTAAGCAGGCGAAGCATCCTGTCGTCACAGACGGTGATTTGATGCGTCTGCAAGGTTTTATGGAGAGAAATGACGAGTTTAAAACGCCACCTCAGCTTTTATAGAAACACACCGTAGTTACTTTTCCTCCGTTTGTGACTGAAAAGACGTTTTCTGGCCTCCTCAGGACTTCCTGCTGTCATGGTGAACCAAGTCCTACGTGTCGATGGCGGCTGGCCGTTGGGGAAGAGCGACTCGAGCAGCAGCGGCGGCGAGAGCTCCAAGGAGAGCTCGCGGTGCTCGACGCCGGTGCTGGAAGTGGACCGCTTGGACCGGCTGCGGGACAAGATGAGGAGGAGGACGGAGGCCGGAGACCGCTGGTTCTCACTGGAGTTCTTCCCCCCGCGCACGGCCAGCGGGGCGGTCAACCTCATCTCCCGGTGAGTTATAACAACAGTTATAATATAACAACAGTTATAACAAATGTAACAGTTGTAACAACAGTTATAATAAATATAACAACAGTTATAATA